CAGACAGCAAGCCACTTATGTGCAATTACCTTAAAAAGCCAGTAAATTGCCTGCCATATCCACATAGTCATGGCGTGTTATGAAAGTACATGCGTTTAAAAATATAATTAATATTTTTATTATGGATTTTCATGTTTTAGGACCAAAACTCTGGGTATGGGGCAATGTATTTGCTTTTATGCATTTGAAAAGTGGCTAAATAAATAATAAAAGTAAAATGTTTCCAGTTTCCAATGTTTCCAAATGTTTCCAATGTGATATTTATATAATACAAGGGCAATACAGAAACTGTGACATGTCACCCTCATCCTCAACTTTGACATATGGGTCTCCAATTAGCACCACACAGTTGTTAATATTCTTCACTTTCCTGTGGACAAGTCTATGTTTAGGGTGTCATTAGTGTCCGCTGTCTTGAGACTCATCTGCATATGCTGGAATTCAACTGCCTCAAACTGGCTCTCATTAGATATGATGTTTCCCGGTACAACTGTGAAAAAGATACCTCCCATTGAGACCGAGCATATCGGAGGTGCCGCAGCTCTTGCAAATAAGGTGCGATTATAACACCTAAAGTGATTATTACATCAGTCCTGTGCTATTCACATCACAGCTACACTTATCACATCAATCACATATGAGGATAAAAACTGCCACTGAGAAAGTCCAGCACAGGGAAACATCTTTAAATTACCATGGCACACTTCAGAGGCAGAGGGATGTCTTTGAATGCTGTGACAGCATTAGGTGAGGATGGAGTCAAAGAAAGACAGAGGGAGGTTAAGACCAGGCAGCGCAAACATGTTTCAGCTGTCAGTCAAAGTCTGGATGTAGTGAGCACACATCACAGCAAGTACGGTGTGAGGTTTATGAAGGAAAGGTCAGAGCCGTCAATCAAGCTGGGAGAATAACAGGATAAAGTGACACAATGAGAGGTTCTCCAAGAAACCAAGGTTAATGTGCCGGTTGGGAAGCATGAGAGGTCTTCAATGTAGCACTGTAATTGTAGGTTAGCGCACTCAAAAAAATAAATGTTTGATAGAAACTTGTTCATTGTTCATGTTGCATTGTATTCATTGTAAAAAGCAATGTGAATATTATCAGTTTGTATTCAAAGTAAAAATACATTAAAACAGGTTTGAAACAACATGAGTGTACTTGAAAATATACTGTAAGTAGTTTTATTTTTGGGTGAATCAAAGCATTATGGGGTAATTGACATTAAAGTATAGCTGAGATTTAGCTGACAAGGAAATAGCACTGATATAGCATTTTGATTGCATAAAATTTTTTTATTTTCTAGGAAATTTATATTTGCATAAATGTCTTTTCAGACGCTATTATACCAAAAGAACTTCCAATAAAGCCACTTTATATTGTGTACTGTAAGTGAAAATGAATTGTAGCTACAGACACAAGAGTTTGAACAAGATAATACAATCAAAAACATGCAGCACTAAAAGTCAAATACACACAAAAAGTGTAGTTAAAATGTCAATGCTATTCTTAAAAAAAACGAAATGGCAGGCAAGGAATCATGTACGGTAAATATCATGAAACCTGTTAAGAATGTGCATGGGTCATATTTCATAATTAAAAGAAAGCTTATATTGTACTTGATGCAAATTAAATCTATTTTAGGACCATTACAGTTTTGGGGTTTTGACATGGGTTTTATTATAATTTAAAGCTCTCGTTCCCAGTTCTTATTAACATTGCACAATGGAATAAAATATTATTTAAAAAGTAAAAATGTATTTATACATGGTTGTATAGGATGTCCTATTAATTAACATTTTAAATAAACTGTAACATTTCTACTGCAATTAAAGTAATAAAAATCTAATATGAATGGTCTTTGAGAATAAATAATTAAATAAAAACCAATAATTTGGTTTAATTACCATGAAAATAATGTCACATTAAAAAAAAATGCTTAATGATCTTGAAAAGGGCCTAATTTAATTTGATTTCGATGTAATTTTGGTAATGTGACCCTGACATGTTTTCATTAGATTCACCCATACCATGGTCCTTGATCTGAGTGTGTTTGTATACTTCCCTTCCGGTGTGTAAACTTCAGAAAAAGACAATTATTCTAAGGTCTGGTCAACATCTCCTTAACTGGCAGCAAATGAATTGTTTTGGCTCAACAAGGTGTTTTGCTTAAGAGGGACATGAAAGTTTACTTAGCATACAAGCTGTTGCACATCAAAGCAGTGGGCAGCCTTTAATCCACAAGACCACAGCTATTGTTATGCCTGTTACTTAGTCAAATCCCAGGCAGTTCCCATATCACACAAACACTACTCGGAACGGCGTAAAAATATTGTTTAAGATGAAAGACTGACTTGATCCACTTCAATAGAGTGCTGATTGATTTGCTAAACATACTACCACTCAAAAAAGAGAGAAACTAAACAAACAACAACAAAACAAAACAAAAAAGTAAGATTGTGTACTAATTAAAGCTGACAGTGAGAGGTGAGATCAAAGACATGAAGATCAAGAACACACATTTGTAGGAGTAACAGAATCAGAATCAGAAAGAATCAGAATCAGAAAGAGCTTTATTACCAAGTATGTTTGCACATACAAGGAATTTTGAAACGTAGGAGTGGGGGAGAGGGGGGTTGCAGGAGGTGTTGATGGTTGTGTGGAGAGATGTTCAGAGCGGGTGTGGGGTGTTAGACTGGGAGTTTCAAATCTACAGTAAAACTCATTCAGGTCTTCAGCAAGTTGTTGATTGGCCTCAGTGCTGGGGGATGGTGTCTTGTAGTTGGTGATGTAACACCTCTTCAGGCGAAAACTAATACACTACACAGCATATTACAACTCATCAGCTTGGTCGTCCTTGGGCTTAGATCAAAGCAAGAGTCATCTAACTAGGTGGCTTTGTGAACAGAAACAAAGTAACAACTGATCAATAGATCACACTATGTATAACTATAAATATACAGCTGATATTTGTAACAACAGTACTTACGATGACAATACCTTGCCCTAAAACATTTACTATGGTAAAAACAGATTCTGCCTAAATTTAATAGTTACTACATATATTGTAGCTAATAAAACTGGTAATTAGGTACTATCCATCAATGTAATCAAAAACATAATTAAATCATTAATTAATTTAACATTAACATTGCTAATGCATTAATCATAATTTATTTTTTAGGTTAACATATAAATATACTATTGTGCATAAATGTATTAAACGTGTATTAAAATAAGCATTATCCAAGATCAATAAATGCAGTAAAAGTACTGTTTATTGTTAGCTTGTGACATCTAATGGATTAACTGGTTATTGTAAAATGTCACCAATTAAAATATGGTGCTTCCAATCAGACTTCAAGGTATTTTGGTGAAAGTCCATCTGTCACCTGGTAAAAGCTAGGCAAATACTTTGTTTGTAACCAAAATAGTTGTTTGATGTGAATTACTGCAGAGACAATGAAAAAATAGAAACCAAACACTCAAGCTAAAACTTAAAGCCTAGATTAGTTCCTCTTTACTTTCCATATAATCAGAAAGCTCTCAAACAATATTTAATTTCACTCTCTTGTGCATCGCAGGTTGGTATAGTATACTGAACTAGAGGCACTTCTGGTCAAGACTTGAACATTGGGGTTCAAAAGGAATGAACGTGTGTCCTCCTTGATCCAAGATTTCATCAAGAGCTCTCCTCCCATGAGTCCTGTGGCCAAAACACATCCTACTACTCTCTCATTCAAGTTAATCCTAACAAATATAAATTTTCCCAACACGGACCTTTTGTTTTGTGTGAAATCTGCAGTCTCTTTATTTCGGTCCATTAGCAGCTTGCCCCTTTTTCAGGGTCGATGACGAGCTCAATATCGCAACACAGCTGTGCAACACCAGCCAAGTGCATTGATGCGTGCTTGTTAAATGGAAAAAAATATATTGTAGAAACCATTTACTGTGTTTACTACTATTCATTAGGGTAATTGCCCAACAATAACAATTAAATGGATTGTTGTTTGTCACAACCACCACCATTAATGGACTAACGCTTCCTCTGATCTCCACTAGGGGTCCCCACTGCATATGTTCTGTCTGTATCCCTTGCAACTGATGTTCAGAAAGTTTCAGAACTAAAACCATCATGTGGAAATAAATGTGGAAATCACATTTGAAAAGCATCTCTTTGCTTAGCAGGGATAACTCACTTGAAACACAAATCAAAAGCCGTAATGGAAGCTGTGTAAAGGTGCCTGCAGTTGGCCTCTATTGAATCAGCAGCAGTGGGATTGTGCAAGAATATGGAAATAGAGCAGAGGATGATGTTCATAACCGTTCTGCCATGTGAGAAATATGAGGTGGGGAGGATTGGATGTGCATCTGACTGTTCTGACACAACTGGTCTCATCTTCTTTTCAAATTAGCTCTACTCATGAAGCGCTGTGTGCTCCCAGTCCATTAGATGGTACCCTTGCAAATAAAGCTTATATATCAAATATGACAGCCATTTTCGTATAAGCCCATTTCAAATCAGGTTAAAAGCCAAATGAAATGCAGTTCACAGCTCCCTTTCATAATGTGAAATATTTCCAAGTGAAGCAGGAGAAAAATGTAAAGGAAGACTTCACAAATACGAGAGAGATCAGTAATGTCAGCCGTAAAAAAAAAAAGTTATTTCAGAGGTGGAGCAAGTTATTGCATTCTGATGAAAGATTCAGATTTATTTCTCATATATCCAGAATGTGTATTCAGGAAGCTAATAAGGTCAATTTTGATTGCACGGTAAGTTTAAATGCTTTCAAAATTCCTTTCAAAAAGTATTCCCACAGCAAGTTGAACACAACTCAAAACAGATGCTTTGTTTGGATTTTTCGCAGTTAGCAGCCTATTAGGCTGTCCCTGCAGCAAATGATCCATCGAGCGCATAATTGATGTCAACGGATGCTTTCGTAAACATGGACAGCAGCCAGCTGCAATTGCAGCGCGGCAAGTAGTGTGCAAAAATTTCTTACCCTTGAAGAGCTTTTTCTCCAAACCAGTCTCCTTTACCTAAGGCCCGCAGATAGACAGGGGTTCCATTGGGTGGATCTTCTCGAGTAACGTTCACCTGCAATTACAGGTTATTGGTCATGAAAAGCTGGAAGGCTAACCACTGATTTGTTCCTAAAATATCAATTATTTAACTTTTACATTTGTTGTGGGTTGGCATTTGTCACACTGATGATAATAAATGATAGAGCAACAATAGAGAGAGTGTATTTGAAGGGATGAAGGGTCTTGAAAATGCATTCAGATTAATGGCCAGTTCAAGGAATAATTTTGAAGAACTGACACACAGCTCTTTTCCTTACAATATTTCACAGTGACCACCACGTCTGTCAAGCTTCAGAAAGACAATGAAACTTAAAGTCTAAATCCTCTGAAGTCAGTCAATAGCTTCATGTGAGGAACAGACTGAAATTTATGTAGTTATTATTCACTAAACATCTTACCCTTCACTAAAGTTCTCGAATCTAAAAGGTTAATTGGGAATAGTTTCCAGCTGAAATGAACACTAGTTGCAGTAAAAGACCAACCACTTTACAGGGCAGATTATTTATTAATAAAGACTTATTTTCATTCAGTTACATTTTTTTGTAGTCCACCCAACATTAAAATGTATTCCTTCATTTAAAGGGAAGATTGTCAGTGAATAATGACTTAAATTTCATTAAGTTCTTCATAGAAAGATTTTGTATAACTTTCAAAGATTTGGAAGATACCACACAGCTCATTTGGACTTTTATGATACTTTTTATGTTGGTTTCTGTCGTTTTTGGAGCTTGACAGACGTGGTCATAATTAAGTACTGTATTGCTGTATGTGAAAATGCTGCATGAAAATTCTTCAAAACGTCTGAGTTCCCTTTTAAGACTTTTGACTTTTTGTCTTCAACCTGAAAACAGGTTTGAACAACATGAGGGTGAGTAATTGATGACAGGAAATAAACTTTTCTTCAAAAGTTGTTCATGCATACAACCTTAGTGGTGTTGTCTCTGTGCTGGAAACAATCTTACCTTTCCCTTGCTAATGATAAAGAACGTGTCCCCTCTGGCACCTTGTCTGATAATGTACTCTCCATCACTGTAGTGAGTCTGAGAAATGAGATAAAGAAAGAGAGGCAAAGAGAGAGAATTACTAAAGTGTCATTTTTTTTCCCTTCTGGTCCAATTTTCACAGTGTTGCTCCATCACAATCATCCTCAAGCCATCATGAAGACAGTGCTTCAGTCACGCAACAGGCCGCTTCAAGGCTGCAACACCAAAACAAGAACAACACAAGAAGTCCTCATAGCAGTAATCCACGCTACCGGCAAACCACAACAGCACCCGATGCAAATGTAACTCTGAGAAACTTCGGCTGAAACCTCAATATTTAGACTACACTGTATTTACCGTTAACCATTTAACAGGTTTTTACTGTAGCATTTTTACAATCTTTTACCGTTAAATTCACAGTCATTTTTTAGTGTACGGTTATTTTAAGGCCTGAAACAAACCCTACAAAAGTGCTTGAATGCTGATTCCTGATTTCACACATCATTATATGGTGTTTACTAAGGCAAACATCACTATTATTTTACTCATACTTAAGGGTCTGAGTAAACCCTTTACCTTAAATACTGGTGTGCAGTTTTTCTACTTTTGTTTCAACTACAGTTATGAAAGATACCTCAAATTGTGTGGGTTGTTGTGGAGAGGTGTGTTTGGTGGTGATTTTTGAAGCACTTGGACTTCAGATTATAGAGAGCAGGATGTTATAAAGGCTTGGGGATGCAATCTGTTGACTTGGGCCAATAAGTAACCACCTAGGATCACCTAGAACACCATAGGAACTGCATATCAATGTGATGAAACCTCTCAGAACACCATAGCAACCGCATAGCAATGCCCTGGCAACTAGCCACATCCATGGCAATTTTTCTAGCACCACTTACTTTTTCTCCAGCAAAATATTTATTTTCTAAACGTGTTTTATGCAATTCATAACATAATGCGAGTAGACCATTTTCTTTTACAGCCAGTTTTCTTTGGTCAAGTACTTTAATGGCAGAGCAACAGCTTGAAAAGGATCTTGTATAAAAATCTTACTGATTATAACAAATAGTGGCAAAAGGAATGCTTGGAATACAAACTACTGGCGCTCAAAAGCAAAATATATAAAAACCCTTAATTATTTTTTTTTCATTCAATTAATTTTAAAATTTACTTATGCATTTTATTAAAAAATGCACTGTGAACTAACACGAATGAACACTAAACAATTGTATTTTTTAAACTAACATTAATAAATGATAATAGATAATAAATGCTGCAAGAAATGTATAGTTGATTTTTAGTTCATGTTAGCTAATCATGAACTAATGTTGGCAAATAAGACCTTTTTGTATAGTATCACCAATAATAATAATAATAATAATAATAATAATAATAATTTTTTTTTTACCAAATATCACAGGCATAGCATAAATAAGACATATTTGTTACCTTCAATCTAAAGCTTGTTACCAGCACAGTAACCACAAAGAACATTAAGTATACAAGAGCAATCTGACCTTCTTTCTTTTCTTTTTTTTGACATTGCTTGATTTTTTATTTACCACATTTGATTGACTTAATGAAATAAATAATTATTATTATATGTTTCTACAACCATGATGCAATGGGATTGTCATGATATATGAGTTTTCTTTGCGTGTACTGTTCCTGACAACAGCCTATGTAACTGAACTATCTGTCCTCTATTGTTGGTCAAGGCCAAACAAAATCCCTTCGGGTAGAAGTTTCAACAGAGCTCATCATCTCAAGCCCAATGACCTGGACATCAAGACCAAACACATTTCTCATCATTTCAAAGATCAAGCTCAGTTCCTGAAACCCTGAAAGATCTGATTAGAAAAATTATCGTGCAGCATCGTGCAGTTCACAGGTCTATTACTGAGCTCACCTTGAGGAAGTAATAATGTTGAGGTACTTGTGTACTGTTAGGATGTATTATTAAATACTACCTCAACATCTCAACAGCATCTGTGGCTTGCTGAAAATAATTCTGACTCATCCAGCATTTTTAATCACAAATGAAAAACACATTTATAGTAATGTCCATACAATAGAAGTTCACAGGGCAAGGTATTCCAGAGAGTTTAAAGCAGAAATGTGAAAATCTTACATAAAGGCTCGAGAAAAAAATGTTTTTTTGTTGTTGTTGTTTTTTTTTAACTGTATATTATTTGTTAGTGCTATAAAACTTATTTACAGAATTTTAATGTAAAATGTCCTACTTTTCTTTGTGGATGAATTCTGGCTATACAATTCCTGTGTGTGGAGTTTTACTAGAATATGCCGAATATCGCAGAATAGCATATTACCATACTATTTTTGCTGCAGTATATACTGTGCAGAGAATACAAATTTTCCGTATGCATAAAACATCTGGAAGATCTACTAAATTTGCTAAAATATACAGTACAGTATATAACAGAGCGAACTGTGTGGAATACCAGATTTTTACGTGGCCTACTTTGTGCGATGAATAAACTGAAAGTAATATCAACTGCGATTTTTAACATTTTATTCTAGACATTATCCGACTGGTCTGCTAAATGTTCATATATTTTAACCCCTGTGCTATGCTGAAAATCGTTTACCTAATTTGGTGATCCTGGTCAAAAATGACTGGCCTTTTAAAAAAATTGCCTGTACTTCTCTCATTATGCTATATTATCACCAAATCTTGCATTCAATCTTTTTGGCAACTTGTTTTCTTTTGATTAGCACAGGTCTTGCATTTATTTTTGAAACTGACTGGTTGTAGGCCTTTGATCTCAGCTTATGCACCTTAGTTTCTGAGAACAAGACGCATTATTTTGGATAATTTTGATAATGTCCACTCAAAAACCGAGGTGCATAAGCTCATATCAATGAGACCTATGATCAGTCAGTTCTGAAAAGAAATACAAAACCTGTGCTAAATGAAGGAAGACAATTTTATTAAAAAAATTGAATCCAATATATCTCAATATTATAGCATAATTTTTAAGTTCTATTGCGATAAAATCAATAGCATCAATATTAGCATATTATTAACATATAATGTTATTAATATTTTCGGGAAAAAGAAAATCCTCATTTATTGTGGCATAATGCCTACTGATTTACTATTTAACTTTAACTGCGACCCTTCTCCAGAAATCCCCCCTTTCCACTCTTTGCCCTACATTCTTTTATTCCAACCATAAGGCCTCACTCATCTGATGGAAAAATCTGACTCTCTGACCCATGTTGCTCCGAGTAGAACAGTGCAGTGTGGGAATGCCTGCCAACTCCAGCACTTCACAAGCATGTCTGGGATAAAGCCCAGACATAGTTAACTGCCGTAGACACAGGATAACAGAGTGCAATAGGGATGTCCGCTTTTTAAGCGGCCTTGGTTTCAGATGTGTTTTTCCCATTCACTTTCTTCATATAAGCTTTTCAAAAAATCTTCAATAAAGACACACAAACCAAACCAACCAGATCTGAAATGAAAAAGCATGTGAAAATTAGTTGGGGAACAAAGACAAAAGCACAAGGCTTTTGTTGTTGTTTTGTTTAAATGAGGAAATGTTTATATATGAAGAGTTCATTTGCAAAAACTCCATTTTTATTTTTTTTCAGAAATCACGTTTTTTTACGTGTATATCAATCAAACTGCAGTTGGGTTGTTTTGATGAAGTAATAATAACTTAAATACAGGTAATTTACAAAATTAAAGTATACTGAAAGTATGTTTTTTTTACATATTAAAAGTTGGTTTTATAGCAAAAGCAGATAACTCCAACAGTCATTTTTTGGCAAAAGCCGATAACTCCACATTTCATGTTTTCGAGTAAAAAAAAAACACTCGTTTAATCTTTGTAATCTCCTCAGATGACAATGTAGATGCCTGACAAAATGTTGTTGTTGTTGTGATCATAAACTGTATGGATGTGATCACACACAATACACTGAGCTTTTCCCTCACCATTGTATATATATATATATATATATATATATATATATATATATTTAAATTAAATATTACATTTTAAATAATAAATACCAAATACCAAAAATGTAATATTTAAATACCAAAAATACAAATATTTTTTTAAAACATCTGCAAGTAAAATACTGCAACATGACAATACAAACAACAATAAAATCAGAAATGGACTTTAACTGTCAGCACTCCCGCTTAATAGAGACCATCTGGGGTTTCGTGATCCTTGTTCACGCGCTTCAATCCATGCAGTGCTTTTCAGAAAGTCAGAGAGTCTATTTCACAGTGACAGTATGAGGTAGTAATGGGAAACCGAGGCTTTCTGAACCGTTTGAGGCTTTCATCAAATTGTGCCGAAAAACGGTTCATTACTCAAAGCTTTTTAACACAGTGCGCATTAGTGACATCTGGTGGTCAGACTCAACAAATCGAATGAAACATCGCGGAGCAGAGGATGGTTTGAAAACGTTTTTAATCTGTGCCAAATCATATCATGCGTAGTCCGGTCAATGGATTCACATATTGATCAATAATATAAAATATACAAGTGTGTGATTATAATTAATAATTGACATGAGTAGTAGCAAAAATATTTTGGGTGAGCTGCTCGGGCTCTCTGAGACCCCAGCTAGAACATGATAAAATACAATAGAGGTGTGACGTGCATTCAGTTTCTGTCTGGTGTTGAGGTTATTCTTAACTATTCTACTGAATCCCAAATAAATGTACACACGTACACACACAACCAAGTCAATCTAAAGTCAAACACAAGAGTCATGCGAAGGGCCAATTTTTTTTCAAACCAGCTGTCCCGACCTTCCGATACTGCATAACGTTCGAAGCTTCAAACGTAATCAATCACGTGGTATTGTCATTTCGATACAGGCATCAGCACAGTGTGTGATACAATAGTGCTTTGAAAACTGCGTCGGAGCATCGGAGCATCGGAGCCTCGGAGCCTCAGTATCAATCGTCCCATCACTAGTATGAGGCCCCGTCCACTGACAAGCTGTGCAAAACCACGTTCATATACAGTATGATCGTGGTTTTATGCAACTTGTCAGTGAACAACGGC